GAACTAATATGAATCATGTTTTTAAACTGGTGGATATGTTTGGGGAGCGATGTTAATTTAATGTTGTTGGTACAATGTGACTGTGTTCTTTTTGTCACCACTAACATATAATTCTTTTTTCTTTTACTGTAGATATACTTTTTAAAAGAGTGATGAGAGTAATATACTGAATACCCTTTCTTTATGGCTTGAAAAAGACACAACATCTAATTTTAGTCTCGTGTTTTCACATTTGTGTAAAAAGTTTTAATTTGGTACCTTATATTATAACATTTTTCAATTTACTCGACCACTGTCAGTTAATAGTAAAATTAGTGTTGGTGAAGTACCTGACATAATATTCTTAGTGAATTGGATGAAATTTAGAGGGCGAAAAAATATCATCTAAGAGAATAAAATTCTAAATTTTCTACTAATTTATTAGAGATTTGAATGAAAAATTAGAAAATTTTCTGTCTTAATTAGATAACATTATATCTCCTATTAATTTCCTTCAACTTACTTAGTGCCATGTAAGTTTATCATCAACAAATTCTAACATTTATCGTACCAATAGTGAATGATTAAATTAAAAATATAAAAACATAACACAAACTAAATTAAAAAATTTTGAACAGTAAGAAATAAATTAAAAAAAAAGGTACCAAACATTAAGGACTAAAACACTTGTTTTTTAGAAACAAAAATTAATTTTTTAAAAACAAAATCAAATGAATTTAAAAAAGACTTAAGGGTTTGTTTGTTTTTTTGAAATGTAGATGAATTTTAGATGTCCGACAGATTGTCATGTTTGTTTTGAAGAGTAATTTATAAGAATGTTAGTTTTGCAGGATTATTTATTACATGTTGCAAATTTATATACAATGTTCAAAAAATGCCTTACGAATATTCATATCRTTTAATATAATTTATATTTATATAATATATTCGTTTTTATTAATTTAATATTTTGTTTTTTATATTAACTTTTGTATGTTGTTGCGTAGAATCGATATTTTCATTTTTAACTTTAATATTTTTTTAAAAATATAAATATATAATTAATTTTATCTGATGTGAAATTTATTTATTACAATATAAAATTATACTTTTTAAGAAGAAAAGTATCGGTCGTTAAAAAAATTGTTGCTTTAAAATTATATACTTAAAATAATAAATATTATTGTTAATAATTCCTTTCAAATATTAAAAATAAATGAAGATATTATATAATTTAATTGAAGTTTATTTTATATATAAAAGTTATATATAAATATACTTAATTGCATAAAATTGTGTATTAGTGGATGAGTACGTTAATTTATTTAAATTATAAAATTATAAACAAAAACAAAGATAATTGATGAAAGAAAATATATGAAAAAAGAATGAAAGGTAAAAATGTGAAGAGAGGATGCCCCGATGTGGAATCTCGAAAAAAACATGTTTCAAAATGACATCCAAAACAACTTCGACGTCTTTGAGATACTCATTCCTTAATCCTTTGATGAAAGCCTAGTTGCTCGGACCCTACAGACTTAAAATCCCTCCCCGCATATTTGCGTATAGATTCCAATGAATTGAAAGACAACGTTACTCCAAAAACAAACGTGTAAATCCAGATGTTCGTCCATGAGATTCTTTAATTCCTACGAAACAACAGTCAAATTAGTGGGTAAAATCACTTTTTAACCGACTAGGTTCAACTAGACCCAACTTTATTAAAAATATTTGAAGAAAAATTCCTTATAAAAAAATGGTAGGTCCGATTAATGAGTGATAATTAAGATAAATGTGTGAGAAAATATGTGGTAATTTGGGCATGATGATTTGTTTGTTTGTTTTTCTGTGTATGGGGACTGGATGGGAAAGTGGAGCCCTTTTGCAGCGACATACCCAACGAAAGCGAAACAAAAGTGAGTTGGTTTGGTGGGCAGATTTTGACGCCCCCTCGGCCTCCGGTGCAGCCTCCGCCCAGCAATCTCTAACGGCGAACGCGATGGTGTCTCTGTTTTGTTTTTGGCTTCGATTCCTGCGCCGACTCATCGCTTTCTCCCTCTCTCGCTTTCGGGCTTCGCACCGCACAAGACAAAAAACTAAACCTCCACTTTCTCATCTTTTTCTACCACTCCTTCCTTTCTATCTACAGATACATACATACAGTTGTAGCAACCAAATTCTTTATTCATCTTTTTACTTTCCCAATCCCAACACTCCACCTCGTCTTGTCTTACTTTCAACCATTCAACCATTTCTTTGCTATACACTCCCAAATTCTCTTCTTCATTTTGTGATTTAAATGGCCAAAATTATAAAAAAAAAAAAATTACGTTGAAAAGATATAAAAATATTCTATATCTACAAATATGATCATTGGAACTGTGCCGCATTCACATCTTCTAGTAAGTTATTTATATTTATACAACACAAATAAATTGATAAAAAAAACTTGAACCATCATGGGTGGGTGGTTTATTGATCCAAAATRATTGAAGTGAATTAAGAGGAAATTAAATGAGTCCAAACTCTACGATACTTATCTAAATTATGACCTAATTCTTAATTTTTATGTATTTTCCAACCCAAACGTTGTATTAGTCTTATTTTGTGACTTAATCTTAAATGACATAAAAGTAATTTAATACAGATTTTGTTTCTTTTCTTTTTGTAAATGTTTTTAATTACTAATCTCTCTCGAAGTTGGGGAAATATAATAATATAGAGAGGGACCAAAGCAATAACATTGTCATTAAGGCTGATTTCTAAAACAAGAAAAGAGAAAAATGAATCATTATGGCTGATGGAAACAGTATACAGAGGATGATACATCGAATTCGAGAATTCAATGGAATGAGGACCATTTCCATGGAGGAGATTGGGTCGTTGCGTGTTTTCACTTTTCACCTCTAAACTCTCATAAAATACATTTAAATAATAATAATAATAATTTTATACCTCATTTGGGACACTGGCTGTCACGGCCACAAACTACATTACTTTTTTCAAAATTAATATTACAAATTTATTAAAATTTTACTATAGAAAACAATATTGTATGTTAGTTATTAATAATTAGTTTTAATTTGCCAAAACGGTATTTGACATATTTTTTCTTTCTCTAAGATTAAGATTAAGGATTCATAAACTCCCTAACATATCTTATGTCCAAACTTCTCTTCTTATTTTATTAAAAAGAGTTTTCTTGGAATATTGGATGGATAATCTACTCGATTTGAGCAAGACAGGTCGATCCAAATCGTTCTTTGGCCTCAATTTGTAAATTTAATATTGAAATTTCACTCTTAATAAATATCCTTCTTAGGAGTGATTAACAAAAGTACATTAGTCTAAACACCACCTTAATAAAAAAAAATGCTCTTTAACAAGTGGAATCTTTGACACATTTGGTTAAAGAATATTTTAGATTTTTTTACTCTTGCTCTATTACATTTTTAGATTACTCTCAAGTGTCAACCATATACATCATAAAAGCATCTGAAAAGACAACATGAAAAATGTTTCACCAGAAAAGGCATATATCATTACTTTGAGAAGGCAATTACCAACTGAACCTAGTTTAGTTTTGTATCTATTGACAATGATATCGATTTAAACGTAGTTTAGTAAATAATGTATCAAATTATTCTTCTGATATTTAATACCCAAAGTTTGCACTTTTGCACCCGACATATTGTACCAAAAAGAATGGACAAAAATGAGTGAAAAGTAATAATTACATAAAAGTGATATGGTAGTTGGGTTGTGGGTTGATGGGGTAATTAAATTAGGTTTAATTTCGTGGAGATGAAAAGTGAAATTTAGTTAAGCCATGTATCCCATATAAGAGAGAAAGAGAAAAGGCGTTTCACATTTGTGTATTTAATGTGACTCTGCCACAAAATTTACACTCCAATCCTGAGAGAAGTTGGGTGCAGTAAAGTATGCAGTAATTTTTTTCACCACACCCAATTTACAACCATCTCTCTCTCTCTTCTTCTTCTTCTTCTTCTTCTTCTTCTTCTTCTTCTTCTTATTCCATAAATCCTCTCTCCAGGCTCCAATAAATGCAATTTCATCCCTCTTAATACACTCTGCAAATCTCACCAACCTTGCTTTATTCTGTCCACAAATTTCCTTCTTTCTTCCTCTCCATTTCTCTTCTCATCCATATCTCTTCTTCTGCCGTGCTCCCCCCTCCTTTTTTATTTCTTATTTTTAATTTTCCCGTCTCTTATTTATTGCTTCTTTATTATCCCCAAACGTAAAATTCATTCTTAGATTTTGAAAGCACACATCTAAATTTTGTATCATATTTTAACGTGACGTGACTTCATTTTCTTGATGTGACTTCCTTTTTTGTTACTTACTTTTCAAACACACACCTCCATATTTGGACACACAAACGTCAAATATATATGGAATGCAACTTGGTGTAGATTATCAAACTTCATAATGTGGCCTTCAAAATATTTAAAATACATATTGCATTACCAAGTTGGGAAGAAAATAAAAAGAAAAAGAATTTGTGTATGAATGGTTTTATGGAGCCGTTCTGGGATTTTCTGTGGGTGTCATTAACAATTAGTCTCAGCTTTTTGTCTGCGGACACAGTACAGAACGTCTGTGTAGTTGGATTACTTATACAACCTGGTCTCATTTCTGCACCACCTCTTCCTCATTCCGGCGACTCCCTTTTTCCCCCATCCCCAGAACTAAATTTTTAATTTCAAACTCTCTCTACTCATATTCCTTTTTCTCTTTTCCATTTTTCAGTCAGGGAAACGTTCAAATCATTCCCCCGTTGCCCTCTTTTCTTCCTTTTTTTCTTGGGGCGAGGGGCCATTTTTCTCTGGTTTCATCTTTCGGCGCTAAATTTTATAGTCCCTGACCATCCATTAGAGACGCTTCTGAAATCTCCACATTCTTCCCAGTTTTGAAAGCTACCCCCAAAAACCGCAGCTCTTCTCATCTGCCTATTACTCTGCATGGCATCGCCGTTCCACCACTTACACTGCACCAAGATTGCTGCTTTTCCTTAGCTTTTGCTTCCATTTCTCTGCACCCAACGACCCAGGTAATTATTTCACTTTGCTTCTTATATTTTCCTTTTAATTTTTTTTTTCAATCTGCTAATTCAATTCAACCCCACGTAAATTGTATTTAATATGAGCTGATATTGGAATTTGGAATCTTACAACCACGATACTTGTCTACACATTGATCAGTAAAGTTCCTGTTATCTTTTTTATATAATATATTTCTATTTTTAATTTAAACCCCGGGTAGGGTAGGGTGTGGATTCAAACCTTTAACCAGTTATATTTCTATCGTATTTAACAGAGGAGTGAATCCATCAAATTTTTGAACCAATAGTATTGATCGATTAATTTGCATTTCTTTTTTTGTTTTTAAAATTTTCAAATAAGTTCACAGTGGAAGTAATTAAGAAATATAGTATCTGCCTTCCTTAAAAACAACGTACTAAATGATGATGCATCACGTCGTACAAATCGGACACAGAATACTTACAATGATTGTTACAGCATTAAAAACAAATCAAATGTATGTTTTTATGTTCACGTGCTTTTCCTCCGCCCTAAACACTGAGACCTCTCCGCCATGTTTTTTTCTTTTCTTGTCTTTGTGGGTTTTGATATATTTTAGGTGTCAGAATCGAAGGTGGCCGAAAAGCTAGCAGCTGAGAGGGTTTCAGTTTTTATTGCGATTTAGTGAATTAAGATGTTCGATCCAGATATGTTCGAGCAGCAGCACCATCATATGCTGGACATGGCCTTCAACACCTCCGAAAACGAGCTGGAAAATGTTAGAGACGACGAGTTCGAGACCAAATCGGGAGCTGAAATCCTAAACGCCGACCACCGCTCCAAGAAGAAGCGTTACAATCGCCATACGCAGCACCAAATTCAAGAAATGGAAGCGTAAGGGGAAAAAATAACAAACGTTTTAATTTTATTACACGTCTCTTTGTGTTCGTGTTTGTTGTGGATTTTGATTGTGATTATTGGTGTCAGGTTTTTTAAGGAGTGTCCTCACCCAGATGACAAGCAGAGAATGGAACTGAGCCGTGAGCTGGGGTTGGAGCCGTTGCAAGTCAAGTTTTGGTTTCAGAACAAGCGCACCCAGATGAAGGTATGATGATTCAGATTTTCAATATAATTATTAATGGGTGTTTAATGTTGTGTTAGTGAAATGATTGATTATATCATATGTTCAATGAAGGCTCAACATGAAAGACACGAGAACGCGATTTTAAAAGCTGAGAATGAGAAGCTTCGTGGTGAGAATATTCGGTACAGGGAAGCGCTGGCGCATTCCACGTGCCCAAACTGCGGAAGCTCCACGGCGGCGCTGGGCGAAATGTCGTTCGACGACCAACATCTCCGCATTGAAAACTCGCGTTTGCGAGAAGAGGTAGTGCTGCCCAATGTCCATTTCTCTCTTTTTTTAGCCCTTTTTATTATTTACCCCTCAAAATGCTCTACGCTATCCAACTTGTCCTTTGTTATCTAAACTTTTGCTGGTCCATTGCTTGAAAATAAATTCTTTTTTTCTTTCTTTCGAAATTAAAATTGATGATGTCAGGCTCGGCATTGATTTCGTAGTTACTTTGATTGAGCCTGACCCACATAATTATGATAGCTACTTCTAAGATTTCTTGATAGATATGGGTACGTAGAACTATACTATTACATGTGAATATTTATTGCTAATTTATTATTCTTGAACAATGCATTTATTCTTTTATTCGCTCTATTTATTTCCTTTTATTTTTATTTTTTATTTTTGGTACAGCTAACTCCTTTTTGGCTACCATCAAATGATAAATTAGTTCATAAAATTTGAGAAATGATCTTGTTTGGTTGAAATTTTAATATCCAACAGTTTAGTATCTAAATTTTTAAAACAATCCTAAATGGTTCATAGAATTCAATTTAAAACCATTTTGCATTGATACGGAAAAATTATAAAAATTAAAGTCTCCCTTTTTTAATCGAAAAAGAAAGAAGACGAAAACATTGGGAGTTTTTGCAATAATCACCCAAAAAAAAATAATAGTAATAATAATTTACTGATCCAAAAATACACACCAAATCTACAACTTTTTAAAATAAAAACTAATTCTATCAGCTTCCATCCCCCTATCTAAAATCAGATCAGTTTCTCTCTCTCTTTCGCCTGTCCAACTAAATAAATAGCATCTTTAATATTCTTTTTCCATGTCATCAATGAAAAATAATTTAAAATTAAAATATATGTCATTTCCCCATCAAATTGTCACATCACATTTCTCTTCAACAAGATTTTAATCCCAAGAACCATTTCAAACAAAGTACTATTGTCAGATTTTTAAACTTAACCAATAGAATACTAACTTAAACTTTTGAGATTGAGAGTATAATTTACCCTAAGATATATTAAATTCAAATTCAAATTTAGGTAATTTAAATTTCTTTACCTATAATAGAATCCATTACGTGGAAAAGTTCAATATGTCAGAGAGCTAAAAAACTGTGTAAGGGAAACCTAAAATTCTGGAGGGCAAAAGGAGAAAGAATATTCTTGTAATTTTTAGTTATTTCCGAGCATTATTAAATGTGGCCTATAGGTATGGGAATGTATGATGGGTGTAAATATAGAATATAACTAGGGCAGTTAAAAATATGGTAAAAAAAATTTAAGGAAATAATAAATTTAGTATCTCCGTTTTAGATTTATAAATATAGGAAAATTTTTAGAAAAAACGGAGGTCCAACAATATACATGTGATTTACTATTGATTTACTATCGATATACAACTGACAGATCATTAATATAACTATGATATCTATTAATATAACTTTTTATATGATTATATTATTTAATATTTATTTCTTTAACACTAATATATATGTAATATATTATTGATATATCTTTGATATACCATTGATATAATATTGATATACAATTGATTTACATCTGATATATCTATGATATCTACCAATATAACTTATAATATGGCTTACCATTTATATACACATAATATAACTACGATTTCTACTAATATAAGTTCTTATATGATTATATAATTTACCATTGATTTACCATGTTTTGATATAACACTTATATATCCGTGATGTATACTTGATATGTCTTTAAGTTACCATTTATATAACTATATATCTACTAATATAACTTCTCATATGATTATATGATTTACCACTAATATAACTTTGATGTATCTATGATATATATTTAATATGTCTCTAATTTACCATTGATATAACCATGATATCTATTGATATCTACTGATATCTAACATTGATGCATATGTGATCTACACCTGATGTATATCAGTGGCATACTAGACATCTCTAATATATTATTGATATTACAAATATATTTAGTATGCCACTGATATACATCAAATGTACATCAGAGATACATCCGATATATATCAGATAAGATTTACATAGGTATATCATTACAAATATATTTAGTATATCATAAATTATAGGTACATAAGATGTAAATTAGATGTATAATATGTACATCTGATGTATATCAGAGATAGATCAGAAGTAGATCAGAGATATATTGGACGTATATCAGATATACATCCATCGGGTGTATATCAGATATACATCCATCGGGCGTATATCAGATATACTTCCATCAGGCGTATCAGATATACATCCATCGAACGTATGTCAGATATATACATCGGGTGTATATTAGATATCATAAGGGTAAAACTGGAATAATAAAAATTTTGAAAATAAAAATTCAAATATTCTGACATATTTGCAAAATAAAAAAGTGGTTGACATTTTTGTAAATATATATAAAAGTTTAGCTACCCAATACAATTTCGCATATAATTACCCCAAAAGTAGTAAATGCAAAAGTTCATAATTTGTGTGAATTACTAACAGTTTGTCTTTTCCTGCGCTTTGCCAAAAACTTCTAATCCATAATTTAGTTCATTAAATCTTTAGAATATTTACTTATTTAAAAATTAATTTTAGTGAAACTTTATTTTTCTCAAAATTATGGAATAATGCATTTTATTAGACTCCAATTGTCTAGTGTGGTGAGATACTAAATTAAATTTGTCCAATCCATCCGTTTAAGTTTTTGGATTGAATGGTAGTGTATTTATCTTTAAAATGGTATTAGCGCGAGAGTTCGTGTGTAACTCTTGCATTGTCGTTTTTCTATTTATTCATCCTAAAAAATGTGGACATAGTATACAACATACAAGATGCCTCTAGATGGTTGAACTATGAAAAAAAAAAACTTAATTCTATTGCGCTTTTATCATAGGCAGTGAGATTCTTTTTCCTTTTTTCCTGCAATGCATCTTATCTTTGCCAAAATAAAAATAAAAAAAATTAGAAATAGAATTATCTTTTCAGCTGATTTTTGGTTTCCATTTCATAAACAGATCGACAGAATGAGCGGATATGGGCCAAAATGCGTGGCGAAGCCTCTAGCTTCTTCGTACTACCACCTGCCGTCGAATACTCCGGCGCGATCGCTTGACCTCGGAATCGCAAATTTCGGGCAACAGACGGGCTTCGTCGGGGAAATGTACGGCGCCGCCGATTTTCTGCTGTCGGTTTCGAGACCTTCGGAAGCCGACAAGCCCGTAATCGTTGAGCTCGCCGTTTCCGCCATGGAGGAATTGACCAGAATGGCCCAGGCTGGCGAACCCTTGTGGGTCCCAGGTGATAACAAGTCCACTGAGCTGCTGCTGAACGAGGCCGAGTATTTGTCCACTTTCCGAGGCGGAATCGGCCCAAAACCATTGGGCTTCAGAACCGAAGCCTCACGAGTTTCCGCTATCGTCTTCATGAACCATCTCAAGCTTGTCGATATTTTCATGGACGCCGTATGTTGTCTCTTCTCTTCTCATCTCTTCTTTTCTTTTTTCCTTTTTAAATTTTAAATCGGATCATCACTAATTTGACTTTTTTTTAATATTTCTCAGACGCAATGGTCGACTGTGTTCTGTAGCATCGTTTCAAGAGCATCCAATGTGGAACTTCTTTCTGCTGGCCTCCCCGGAAACTGCAACGGGGCCTTGCACGTGGTACTGAAACTAAATCCCACTTTTTTTTTTTATAAATATAGTATAATAGGGAGTAAATTTAAATTTTAGGTTCCATGGACTGGCTAATTAATTAAGTTGGCGATTGTATTCACAGATGAGCGCTGAATTCCAAGTCCCGTCCCCGCTGGTTCCGACCCGTGAAAATTACTTCGTAAGATACTGCAAACAGCTGAACGATGCCACGTGGGCTGTGGCTGATGTTTCCTTGGACAGTTTGCGCCCTTCTCCCATCCCAAAGAGTCGGAGGAGACCCTCTGGTTGTTTAATTCAAGAACTGCCCAACGGCTACTCAAAGGTCCTTTATTTAATTTCATTATTAAATTTAAGACCCGCTAATTTGTGATTTTAATTAATTATTGGTGCAATGGATTGTTTAGATTACTTGGGTGGAACACGTGGAGGTGGATGAAACTGGCGTGCCCACCATGTACAGGCCATTGGTCAGTTCAGGGCTCGCTTATGGTGCTAAACGCTGGGTCGCCACCTTAGACAGGCAATGTGAGCGTCTCGCTACTTCAATGGCCACCACCATAGCCACCGCCGATTTACGCGGTACTCTTTAATTCTCTCTGTT